TGAGACTGCATTACAGTATTTACAAGGACCAAAAGTACCATCTTCTCAGAGGTAAAGTGGTTTTCATTAGCAGTGATGTAACTTGGCAGGCAGGCACTTGTGATGCCAGTTTTGCCCTGGTACCCACCACATACCTACGCTGCTGTTCATTAGTAGCCTTTGTGCTTACTGGAAAGGGAGTGCCAAGTTTTTTGTATCCAGAAGTCCTCTTTGGTACCCTCCATCTCCATCACAAAAAAAGTGGCTGAAGGATTCAAGTGAGCCAAAAGGTTTACCCCGAACAATGAGGTACTGTATATGGTGAGAGCCTCATAAACTATGCCCCTCAGCACTGAACTGACTTTTATGATGAGTCTGCAAGTCATCATAAACATGACTTTTGAACACTCATTTTACAAATTACATTATCAAGAGACTAGGACATGTCACAAGTGATTCATTAATGGGAGGAACAGAAAGTCACAAGTTCAAGTCTACTCTAACATCCAATATTATATAGCAGTGGTCAGCAACAAGTGACCCACAGGCCACCTCCAGCCTGCAGACCCACTGGATGCATCCCACAAAGCCAAAGGGCCCTCCCTTCGCCCAGGCCTGCAACAGGACCAAGAAGTTGGAAGGGCCAAGTTGGAAGATGCATCTGAGCCATCATCACTTCTCCCCATCTCTCTGGTCTTCCTGGTGGCAGTGTGGATGCAGTTTCCAGCTGATGGGGAGCTGCACCCACACTGCAGAGGTGAGGAGAGGCAGAGAGAACCAACAGCACCATGGATGTTGCTTCCAACTGCTCAGCCCCAGGTTGGTTCCCCACCAACTAGAAGCACCAGCACTGCAGCCAGGGAGAGTAGGAATCACTGGAAGGAGTGACAGCAAAGGCATAGCTTCCAGCTGTCCAAACCCAATGCAGCTCCTCACTGCCCAGACCTGGCACAGGCATAGGCACCTATGCCGTCACATGACAGAGTAGGCCATTGCCTACAAAAGTTTATGCATTTCTGAATGAATTAGTCTTTAAGGTGCCACCCTGCCCTGCCTTCTGCCCGACTTCAAATTAACATGGTTAACTACCTCTTTCTACTCATGCTTCAAATGTGAACTTCAGACCAGAGGTTACCTGTGACAGGAAAAGATGAAGTTTCTGTGTCATTTATCAAAAGTAGTAGAGAAGTTAATCTGGTTTTATCAACAAATCTGCTTAGAACAAGGGGCAGGAACCTTTTCAGTTTGGGTCAGAAGCAGCCCAGTGCATGGAAGGTGGGTGCTAGGACCAAGCCATCACCATGGCTTTTCCCAGCTGCTGCACAGAAAAAGCACCTAGCAACATGCTTTTCCCCATGGCGGCACAGGGAGCGTCTGCAGCCAGTGCTCATCCCCACAGAGGCAGGGGAAAGCAATTGTTGCCAAAGCCCCACACTGCTGCAGGGAAAAATACCAGCTATGGACACTATCCTTGTGCCACCACAAGGAAAAGCAATGGCAGCAGCAGCAGCGAAATCCTGGCACCCATCCGCCTCTAACTCAAACTAGGTCCATCTGGCTGCTGAAGCCCTATGCTCGCAGACTGGACCTGGCCCATGGGCCATAGGTTGCCAACCCCTGCCTTAGAATAAAATCAATTTAAATGTTCATGGCTGTTTCTCAGCTGCTGGTGATTACTCAAGATCTACATGCTGACCTAAACAAACAGTTCTTGAAGTCAATAGGCCTCTGTGTATAACCAAAATAAGGTTCAACAATTACCAAACAGCCTCCTATACTGGGCCTAAGACATTACAGCAACATGCAATATGGGAAACCCCAAAAGATACGTAGGATTATAGCATTTATTTTATTGATTTAGGACAACTTGCTTAGTAGTTTTCATGTACTCAGAGGGGCTTAGAGCTAGAAATGCAGAACTTTATAGTAGCTGTATAATTTTACGTAGCTTGAAACAACAAAAATGCAAAGGGTTTGTTTGTTTTATGCTAAAAACTGAATTTCATGGATCTGGAGTCCTAAAGGGACCACTATTTTCTATTCTGGTTCCTACATAACAGAGGACAAAGAATTCTGGATATGTACGTTGCTTTTCTTTCTGTAACTGAACGTCTAAGCTAATCAAATGGCAAAATGACCACAAGCCAAAAAGAAAAAAAGGATAGCAGTTACGTATAGCATATTCATTAACAATAAGGTACAAGTCATGTTGCCAAGCAGAAGCACTCTCTCTGTAGTTTTTCCAACCAATCATCTGCCACAAGTCTTATGTTGCTTCCTTTCAGGTTCTGAAACACTGACTCATGGAATTATCAGAGCTGCACACTTCCTCAAAGTACCAATCTTATAGGAAGTGTTTGTTTAGTCTTACATGACACATTGTTTTGTTTATGCATCAAGGATTCTGGCAAAATTAATTTTCAATGAAGATGGACCATAAGAATACAGTAGCAGGAAAAGGTAGCCAAAGAAGAACAGATTAACTCAGATCTTCAATAGCATATAGAGTGTATTTTTTTCCTTTTTGCTCTTAGGCTGCCTTCATGTTTCAAATCATTTTATTTTAAAAAAAATAGAAGTGTTAGGAACAGAAACAGATAGATAATGAGATGTCCCCCTCTCTCCCATGCTAATCAAATAAAAGATCTGAGTAACAGGTAGAGTATTAACAACGCCGCTCTCTCTCAAAGCCCTCAAGTGCAGGTCACAAAGGAATTTATTTTGTCACCCTCCCCCATCCCCCTCTCCAGTCTATAAGGCCATTTGGAGACAGATTGAGTTGTACAGCCAGCTATAAGGCTATGAGGAAAACAAAAGTGCCATTCTCTACAGAAGAAAATAAATCTATTGCAAAAATAAGACTAAGAAGAGATCATGTCCTAAAGAGAGAACAGCAGACTCAAAGTGAATCCAGACCAGACTAAGGTAACGCTAATCACAATGGGAAAATGGTTAGAAAAACTAGAACATTATACCATATTCCATTAAATGTTATTAGTACTGACATCCCATCTTTAATTCTGGATAATCAAGGAGCATCAGTAGTGGTCCCTTCATCCATCATCCATGCAGAGCTTCCTAGAGTAAACTAAGTTTTTCTTCCTGGTAAGACCATGCCTCGGCTTCTTTCCACTTCTTAAGGTAACAAGTAGGAACCCTGAAGTATCCTAGCAAGATTTAACAAATCAGAACTGCCTCACATCAAATTGCATGTTTTCAGGTCATTTTGAAAACTGAAGTAATCCTGTCAGACCTATTCTGCTGAGAAGACTTTCACCTCTACGAGAACACACTGATGTCCAAAATGATGTTCAATGTTTGTTTGTTAAACAATCATTATGCCAGCAATTCTTCAGGAATGGCTTCCATGGGCATTGATGAATACATCTTTGGGTTCCTTACTAGTGAACAAAAAAAGAAGGAAGTTGTCTTTTGTGTACATTTACTACCGCCCTCTACCGTACAAAGCAATCAACTTTGATCATGTACATATTACTGCTCTCTGCTACATTGGGAGTACTCATAACTTATCAGGTAAATGTGGGGACAGGATTTGGTCTTTTATTTTTTTAAAGCAGCAGAAGGTACCTAGTATCAACAACACATGAATAGCCTCTAACTGCTTTATCTGTAGATAAGCGGTGATGAATCATTACTGTAGTATTGCATAATAATCAAATCCATTAATCTAATGGGGTTTCAGATATTGAAGCCTGTAGTAGGATTAATTTTGGTGGATGCTTTAATCAAATTAATCTCAAACCTTTTAGCTTTTGTTGCTAAAATTAAATCTTCTCTGTCAGGGTCCCCATACTCTAATTACGGCAGGCATCTACATAGGGTAACACCAGTTATCCTTTCAGTGAAGCCTAGTCAGTGTGCTACTACCTAAAACATAGTTCTCTCTCGTGCAAAATGGTAGGAAGAAGCAACGGAGGAAAATTCTTATTTCATTAGTCCAGTCTTATTAGAGGAGGAAAAAATGAGCTAGTAATAAGACCACCAGTAAAGATACAACACAGTATCTTTTAACCTGAAAGCAAGTCTGACTCCATCATGGAGCACAGACTCCCTGAATACATTTTCGGGGCAAGCAACAGGAAACGCCCACATGCCCAGAACTTCATCCACAGAGCGAGAGAAAAGGAGGGTTGGAAGGGATCTCAGGAGGTCTTCTAGTCCAACCCCCCTCCTTCATGCTGCCATCGCATTTCACCCCAGTAGTTGCAGATTCTGACTTCTCAAAATGGGTCAGAACAGACAGCTCACCTACAGCCTGCTCTGTGACAGGTGGCATGCCTCATGCGAATCAATTTTCCCTGCAACCAGACATTTCACTTTGTCAGACACGACCATTGGCGACAGCAAAGTCGCTTTTGCAAGTATCAGCTCGCCAGTGTTTCCAAAAGCCCCCAGAGAGAAAACCGAGCGGAACGAGGCACCCGACCCCCTTTCGCTCCCAGGGGGATCCCTGGTGGGCACTTCAGGCCCTCTGGTTCCCTTTGACATTCAGGGCCTGCTGCCATGTATCGCTGGGGGAGGGCAATAAAAAATAAAATCAAAAAGAAGAAAAAACCAAAGTGCTCCCCTTGGATCCGGGCTTCGTTTTCCTACGCAGAGCACGGACTGGACTCCCCGTCCTTGGGGGTTTTTAAGAGCCGGATAGGCAGAGCCCTGGCTGGGATGATCTACTTGGGGCTGGTCCTGCTCGGACCAGGGTGCTGGACTCGGTGACCTCGTTAGGTGCCGATGCTGCGAGGGAAGGAGGGATTTCCCGGCCAGTCAGAGCGCTGCCGAGAGGAGCCGAGCCGAGCCGCCCGCTCACTTTCTAACCCTGTGGTCTGGGGCCAGCGCTTCTCCCGCAGCACCCCGGGGCGCCCGGCGTGTCCCGGGGCGGGGGGCTGCAGACCCCGCCGCCCCCCAGGTGCCCGGGCTCGCAGGGGAGGCTGCGGCATCCCCCACTTCGCAAAGGAAAAAACTTCAGGCGCTTTCTTGCAAAGCGGCCCCGCCCCGGCTCCTACCTATTTTGATCCGGACGCTCTGAAAGACCCGCAGCCCCTCTTCCTCCACTGCCATGGTGCGCTGCGCCCAGCTCCGCCGCCAGCCAGCCAGCCAGACGCAGCCCGCGGCAGCAGCAGGGGCGAGGCGAGCGAGCGGCGCGGGGCGCCAGCCGCCAGGGGGCGCGGAGAGCAACCCACACCGCCCCGCACAGTTCCCGCCCCCTCGGCTCAACATTCCCCGCCGCCGCCACCGTCTCATTCGTCAGCGGGCGCCCGGCGTCGCCGCTCATTGGTTCGTTCTCGCGGGGTGCCTCCCCATGAGAGAGGCGGCAACCCCCAGCCGAGACCCAGCCCTCTACATTCCCTCCTCTCCCGCCGCCACCGTCTCATTGGTCAGCGGGCGCCCGGCCTCGCCGCTCATTGGCTCGTTCGCGCGGGGGGCCCCTCCCCTCCGCCCCACGCGCGAGGAGGGAGGGGGAACGCGAGCTGCGGGGTCCATTCAGTGCTGCTCCGCGCGAGGGGACAGGGGAAAGCCGGCGAGCCCCAGGGCAGCCACCCCTCCTCGTTGAGCTGTGGTGCTGGGCAAATGCAAGCCCCAGTGCCGGAGCCGGGAAGCTGGTGGTAGCGGGAGAGAGCAAGGAACAAGCCCCCGGCTCTGGGAGCCAAACTTTGGGCTCCAGGAAACTGATCGCTGCCCCAGAGTGGGGGGCCCTGTATCGTTCTGATATCTTTTATTAGACCAACTTAAATAGTTGGGGGGAAATTTCCTTAGCAAGCTTTCAGGTTTAAAAAGCTTGCTAAGAAAAAAACTTTTCCAACTATTTAAGTTGGTCTAATAAAAGATACCAGATTCACCCAAAAGAACCATGTCTTCCTATGGCCTGAGACCAACACGGCTACAGCCTACACCTTTGTATCATTCTGGTTTGTCAGTGGATTTTTTTAGTAGCTGTTTTTAACCAGGTCTGGAAACCTTTTTGGGTAAAGTGGCATGAAAATGCAATCAATGATTATTAATAATGAGTAAGGGCAATAATACCAATTATTATTATAAAGGAGAAGGTGAGCAATCTTTTCTTCAGGAAACATTAGTCTTTTTTCTCTCCAAGACCGGCCTTGGAAGGGTAAAGCGGTTGTCAGCACTTAAGGGAAGAACCCCATGGGGTAGGTTACCTGCTGGAGCAGAATGGTGAAGGAGCCCAGCAAGACACCCAACAGCCAAATACATCCATGACTTGTATGTCAGCTCTCTCCTGAGCAAATATATATATATATTTTTTTTTTTTTTTTTTTTTTTTTT